AGAAAAAAGTCAGAACAGGGCAATTTTCAAATGTTCATATGAGTTGGAGTTTCTTGACAAGGGCTTCCAAAAGTGTCCCTTTATTGGGCTGGATCCTTTTCTTAAAGTGAGCCAGATTTTAAACATTCCTTTGTTCAAAGTTTTCCAGTGGCCAAAAGGGTCTGACACCATCAAATTCCCTCTGTTACCGTTCTGATCCCTGCTACTTTCCCATTACTTGCTCCCTTACAGCCTGATGGCCGTGCTGTTCCTTCGTGGTGCATGGCATGGTTCCACTGCAGAGCAGTGGTGGTTCCCTCTGCCTCGAGTAGCTCCTTCGGGTATATGCATGCCTTGCGTTTTCTCCCTGTGTCCACAGTCTTTATATCAACAACTACAGAGACAACTATAAAAAAATGAAAATTTAACAATTAAAAAAATATAGTGGTTGTAAATGTTACTAAAAAGTTTGAAATAGAGTGCTTTGCTGAGGCAGCAAAAATATTCCCCACCCTCTCTGGTTTAGGGATACATACTGCACCCTAGTGACCAGTATAGAAAAACATCCTACCTTCTAAGAGGTTCTGCCTGTTTTGCTTAGGGTACGTGGTCTAATCTTCCTGCCCATTTGACTGAACCTGCTGGGCCACCCTGCCCCCAGAGACTCCAAATGAGTTGTCTCTGTTCTGTGGAGAGGACACAAGCAGACATGGTAAGAATTTCAGATTCCTTGTTTATGAGTGATCTTGGACAAGTGATCTAACGTACTTTCTGGGGCTTTGAGGAGTAAGAGGAGCATGGGGCTCTTGCTTAGTACTTATCAGGTGGTTAGCTCAGTAGCTGTTATTTATTGTTAGAAAAAAAAAACTCCTGGGAAAGTATGGGGAGATGAAATGTTGACTTTCACTCATGAGTTGGGCACAGGAGTTGAGGGAAATGAGAGAGGAGGTTAGTGAAAGCTCCTGTCCTTGTCGGGGAAGCTTAACCATTACTCTATTCCTTTCCAACCTCCATGAGCTACCTGATCAAACTGTGTAGGTTTGGGCTGGAGGCTTTAACTGTGCTGATGCTCCATGGCATGGGGAGACTCTTGACCCCTCTGATCCTCTACTACTCAGGGCAGCACATAGGCAGGAACCATTATCCCACTGGATAGATGCAGAACCTGATGTCCACTGTAAGCATATTTTTTGGGGACAGAGCAAGCTGAGGCACTTTTGCTGTTAAGCTGTGCCCTCCACATCCATATCTCCTAGAGGACTGTGCCAGAAGGGCACCCTTACCAGGCTCGGGTGGAGGGCAGCCTGGACCACACTGTGCAGGACTTCCAAGGGAGCGCTACCTGTAGAAGCTGTGAGGACACAGCCCATTTTCTGGAGGTCTCAGCCTCCTCCTGGTACAGAGCTCTTCTAGATTGGAAAGCACAACACCAATCCTGATGTGGCACATACTGTGTATGCCCAGTGAGCCTGTTCCTTCTGGGCTTGGCCCTTGTAGGCTGAGGGGCGAGACTGGCTTCTAGAATCCCCTGGGGAACCTTGGGCTCTAAAATGCCATGGGAGATGGTATGGGGCTTGTGTTGAGGTCATGTGATATTTGAGAGCTTCTCTTGGGCACGGGTGACTAAGAAGGTAGGCAGTGTTTGTGAAAGTAGAGGTGTTGGCCTAGCCTAGCAGCATCTGTCATTTTAGAAGGGGAAACACACAGTTTTCCTAAGGAAACAAGGTCTTTAGGATTCAGATGGGAAACTAGAAGGCTAAGCAACACAGGAAGGGCTCCTCAAACATAAATCTATAGGACTCCCTGAGACCACACCTCCCATAAGCCTGACATTCCTGCCTCCTCTGCCCTGGCCTGCTTTGAAACATGGCCTGAACAAGATCCATAGCCTGATCTGCAGTCAGGAAGGCCTTTCATCTCCAGCCCTACATACCAGGATGGCCCTAAGGTTGACAGAAGGCAGCCCTACTGGACAAGTCAGAGGGAAATTCTGAGATAATTTGGTCTCAAAAGCTCTAGCCCATAAAGGAACTCCTGCTTGACTGTGGGGCTTAGAGGGGGAGAAATAGCACCTGATTCTCAAGGAGCAACAGTGTGGGTTGCTGGTACCCACAGGCTCCCTCCAGGAGGAGGTGGTGGGCTTTCCTAGTCCATCTGCACATACAATAGTTTCTAACACTGCTGCTCAGTGAAGAACCTGCCAGACCTATGAGAAGTAACTTCTCACTGGAACCTGGGGTCCCTTTGGGGATCAGAGTGGCAAGATCTCTGCTGACACTTGGTATCCTATCCCACCTCTCTGATTTGAATTGCTTTCTTCGAGGGTCAACTGTAACTACCCCAATCATCTTCCGTCTCAGTTACTTCTGCAGCTTCTTGACCAGCCTTCTTGCCTTGAAATAGCTCTCCAATCCCTTCCATACACTTCTGCCCAAGCTGCTCTAGAACAGGAAGGGTAAACTAAGTCCATGGTCAAATCTAGTCTTTTTTTTTTAGATTATGAATATGACTTCATTGATGACAGCTGTCCTCTCCTCTTCCTAAACTTGGGCTCCCTGCTTCGTTTTTTTTTTTTTTTTTTTTTTTTTAGTTCAAAGTAAAGCCTAATGGCTTTTGACAGCTGTAGACCAGGCTGGCCTTGAACTCACAAAGATCCGCCTGCCTCTGCCTCCCAAGTGCTGGGACTACAGGTGTGTGCCACCATGCCCTGCTTTCTTTTTTTTAAAAAAAATTTAAGGGCCAGACATGGTGGCACACGCCTTTAATTCCAGCAGTCGGGAGGCAAAGGCAGGTGGATCTCTGAGTTCAATGTAGGCGCTGGGACTCAAACCCAGATCCTCTGTAATAGCAGCTAGTGCTCTTAGCCATTGAGCCATCTCACCAGCCTTGTCTGCTGCCTCTCTTGTACAACTCATGAGCTTAAGGTTTTTTTTTTTTCGTGTGTGTGTGTGTGTGTGTGTGTATGTGCAACATTTCTAAATGGCTAGAAAAGCCAGAGAATTTTGTAACATGTAAACACTATGATTCAGATGTCAGTGTCCATAGTTAAGTGTGACTGAGTATTATCTATGGCCATGTTTACAAAATGACAGAGTTGGCTAGCTGCAACAGAAACTCACAAAGTCCAAAGTATTTACTCCGGCATCTATGGAAACACTTGTGGACTTCTGCTACAGATCATAAATTCAGCTACTCTGGTTAGGATTTGTCAGGGACACCTGTAGCTCTCACAAACTGATTCCTGTCTGCCTCAGTCTCATCACCTGTTCCTCTCTGGACAATTAACCCTCCCTCAAGTCCCAGCACATGTACTTTCCCAGTTCTAACATGAAGCTGACACAGGGCAGGCATGCATGTTCACAGAATTGGCATTGCATTCTTTACTTGGTTAGTGTTGTGGAGAGACAGTGCTAAGATATTTCTCACATACCACAAATCATTTTTATGAACTCTGAGTACCTCTAATGCATCAGGCAACCCAACTGCTATTCCTTTAATCCTTATAATCCTGGGGAAGCAGATAAAGCCTCCACTCCAGAACCTGAAATAAGACCTCCTAACCTCTCCTGAGAAGCCCCCAGTCAGTTTACCCATTTACCCTCCTAACAACATATGTGCATGGGTTTCCTGTTGGGAATGAGGCCAGAGACCTTGCACTAAATGGCCCCAGAAAAATTTTGTTGTCTTCCATCACTTTTCTCCAATCACCCGTTTCTCCTGCTGTACCTCATGCCTGCCTTCAAAAACTGGGTTAGGACCAAAGAGCAGCCTAGTGTAGGCCTATAACCCTAGCATTCAGAAGGCTGAGATAGGAAGATTGAGAGTTCAAGGCCTGTCTGGGTTCAGTAAGTAGTTTAGTGAGACCCTGTCTCAAAAAATAAAATTTAAGACCTTGTTCACATGATTTTTTTTGTCAACTTGACAAAAACTTGTCACCTGGGAAGGATCTTCAATTAAGATATTTCCTCCATCAGGCTGGCCTGTGGGCATCTGTGAAGCATTTTAATTGTTCATTGATGTAGGAGGGCCTAGGCTGTATAGAAAAATTAGCTGAGCAAGCTGGTGTGGGCAGGAGGGCGGGGCAAGCCAGTAAGTAGCATTTCTTCATGGTTCCTGCCTTAAGGTAAAGTTTCTCCCATCCTCAGTGATGGTCTATGACACAGAAGTGTAAGCCGAATAGACCCTTTCCCTCCCCAAGTTGTTTCTGATCATGGAACTTATAAAAGCAACAGAAATCAAACTAGAACACCCTGTCTCAAAATAAATAAAAAATAAATTAAATGAAATAAAGTGCCCTGTTTTATGACTCTAAGTGTCAATATCCTTCTGTTACTTTGGGGCTCATGGCTTATCTGAAGCAAAAAGAAACCGCTGGGAGTCCAGGCTCTGTGATGATGAAGTGCCAATGCAGAAGGCCAAATCAATGAACTTGACACACCTGCCTCAAAGGAGCCTGAAGAATGTGTGCAGTAGGCTCTGGGCATAAGCTCTGGACGGTCCACATACTTCTCTGAATGTTCAAACAGGGATCCAGAGTTCAGGCACAGGGAGAGCCAGGGTAGATGCTGAAGGCCTAGGAAAAAGTAACACAGGACAGCTGTCTATGTGAGATTCTCTATCAACAAGAGAGGAGTTAGGGCTACACTGGTCAGTTCACAGAGGGCACAGTGTGAGCATGGCAGAAGAGCTTGCTCCAGGTCCTTTGCCATTATGGGAGATAGCTGAACTGTCACTTGACAGGCTTGGTGATGTGGTAGGAGAGGTGCCAGGGACTTGAAAATGGAATTCTATAAAGTGACTTGACCTAGAGAGATCTATGAGAGCTTCTGGCAAAAGTCTTAGATAAGATAGCTGGGTTCAAGACAACATGTATGACTGATTCCAAACACATGCACCAATTCTGACGGAGAGGTGTGTTTGTGTCTTTCCACATAAAGAAAGTGGAGTCACGTGATGTCTAAGGCATCTGCAGGATGACTAATTGGGACAACTGGAACTATGACTAGGCGCCACAAAGTCAGTTTGGGGTAAAGATTCTGGTTTATCCAAATAAAATCCAATATTCCCCCATTCACCTATGCAATCACAGTGATGGTGTGAGGATGTTCTTCAGATACAAGACTAAAAACCTAGTGGCCATACAATCAGATCTGGCCACAGTGAAATACTTAAGAGAGGAATAGACAAGAGGGTTCTGGCACACTCATGCTTTGGATGTATCAGTACAAGACAGCATGTGAGGCTGTGATTCTGCCACACAGTGAGGAACGAGCATGAGTCATCTGCTGGCAAATGAGTCTCCACTACACGGAATCATTCTTTTATCTAAATGCATCTTGATCTTCTCAGTCCTGGACGTCAAAGTAGTCAATTATCGGCTCCTTAGCTATCTTCTGGAAATTACTGCTCCTAGGATTCCTGAAAAGCAAGCAAAGAATGATCAATCTTCTTCTCCAGGGGAAATAAACCTAGGTCTTCAGAAAGTTAAGGATCAGCTGATTAACCACTGGAAACTCTGGAAGGACAGCAAGGAAAACATGTACTAGGCATTCGTTGAAATTTGGTAATGAGCTGACAGGTATTTATTATATTAATACTGTTTTTTTTTCAGTTCTGAAGAATTTCCATAATAGGGGCTGGAGAGATGGCTCAGAGGTTAAGGACACTGGCTGCTCTTACAGAGGGCCTGGGTTCAGTTCCCAGCACCCATATGAAGGCTACCAACTGTCTTTAACTCCAGTTCCAGGGGATCCAATGTCCTCTTCTGGCCTCCCTGAGCAGTGCATGACACAGGTACCTTTACATGTAGGCAAAACAGTCATACACGTTAAATAATTAAAAAATAAAAAAAAACAAAACAAAATAAAGGTGTTTTTTTTTTTGGAGACAGGGTCTCCCTATAGTCCCAGGTGACATGGAATTCACTATGTAGACCAGCATGGCCTCGAACTCACAGAGATGGGCCTGCCTCTACCCCCGGAGTCCTGGGGTTAAAGGCATGTGCCACCACCCCAGCTGCTTTTCTATCAAAATATTTTTTATTGTAAAAATCATTCAAACTATCCCCACTCGCCTCCTATACTGTTGCTACCCCTATCACTTCCATCTATCGTTAACTATATCCAGTTCGAAATCATCTGGTGTGGCAGATGAACCCACTTTCCAGTGTCACCATCTACACTGTGGAAATTATGTGCAGTGGCTATTCTCCCCGGAGTAGGAGAACATCAAGCATCAAACTCAAGGCTCTACTAGTTTGAACAAATGTGTCTGATGCCCCAATCAAACCTTTCATATTTGAATACCATACCCTAAAGTCAAGTCCAAGGAGACCATTAATGGCTGATGTGGCCCCAAGCAGTCGCCCCCTGCTGGCTTCTCTGACCATATGGGTTCTACGAGAAAGCTGCTGAAGAATCCTTACTTGTCTGCCTGATGCCTGTGATGAGGAATTGGTGGTGGAGGCCGTGTCTGCATTTCCCTTTCAAGCACATTGGTCAGTGTGACAGGAGGACAAATGGACTTCCCCCTGATAGGAGTCAAAACACAAGAGTCCTGAAAAGCGAGAATCACATGCAGAAACAGCAGAGCTAGAAAAACAGCTTGTGACTTCAGCACTTGCTGCTGCTGAGCACACCCTGATGGCACCTGTCTCCTCTCCTGTGTTCAACTTGCATTCACCCCTGTCCTGTCCATCCACCCTGCCAGACCTGCTGCCTACTTCCTCCCATGCCACACCTTACTTTTCTTCATGCTGAAGTTCTTGCAACACGTTCAGGGTCAAATGGTGATTCTAGTACTTCCTGTCCCTTCCTGGCTCACATTTCTGCCTCCATTTCCTCTGATGACAACACCGACTCACAGTCTAGCATTCTTTCTGTTTCCATCATGCCAAGACTAGGGTCAGGTAGGTCAGAGGGAGGAACAGGAGACAGGGGGTAAGAGACTAGAAGTGATGAGCAGGCATCCTGCTCAAACCTCCTCTACCTGTAGAAATGCCACTTTCACTGTCTGTACTGGGTCAGGGCAGATGTGAAACTTGAGTACTTGGGGTTTATCTGCCCTGTGGAATGAGGCATGGGCTTTGCTCTCTGGCTTGGATCTTTAGATAATAGTGAAATGGCTGTTCTAGAGAAATATGTCTCTCTTTTACTCCTCCAAGAGGAAAAGGAAGTAAGGAAAGCACATAGTGACTCCTGGGTCACACCTGTCTTGCTGAGTTCTTTCTGTGACAGAAGATCAACCCACCTGATGGCAATGACCATGACATTACGTTTTGGTTCACTGTCATAGCTCACGCTCTCCAGGCCATAAACCTGAGCCAAGTCATGGATGATCCGGCGGTGGTCTCTGTTCATAGGAGGAAAGCAGTAGCTTTTCTTACTGTTCTTTCCCTGTATTGATGGAAGAGAAGACTAATTGGCATCGTCACTGTGGAAACAGAAAACACAACTTACCCTCACTATCACAAGAACAGTTTTGTTGGTCGGAGGTGATTGAATTTTATTTTTTCCTGTTCAAATTTATATTAATTTACGATTATTGTGCGTGATTGTGGGTGTATGTCATGGTGCTCATGTGGAGGAGAGGACAACTTTTGGGAGTGGGTTATAGGGATCAAACTCAGGGTTTCAGGCTTGTATGGTAAGTGCTTTACCCACTGAGCCATTTTACCAGCTGGTGACTGAATTTTGGAGTACTGTAAGAAAGTCAGTTTCTCGGGGCTACAGAGATGGTTAAGCGGTAACAGTATTTTACTACCTGACATGTAAACCCAAGGTTCTGATGGATGGATCAAGTCAAGTCCAAGGAGACCATTAATCCCCTGATGTATTCCTTTACTTACAATGTAATGGGTCTATAGATAGGGTAAGAAACTAAGAGTCAGTGAACTGGGATGTTGGTAGAGAACCTAATGGTTTTTCCTGAAGGGCCTGTAACTAGGGAATGATTCTCAAGAAATGCCTGGATAAACAGAATTAAAAAACAAGAAAAATCTCACTTCTATAACAGTCTGTTCTGCATGAGCTGTTAAGTGTGCAGATACAGACACATAAGCAGAGAATACATTGCTCAGGGTTCCTAAACAGAAGAGCACACCATTCCACTTTCTCCTTCAGATCAGTATCTTACTGGAAGTGGGAACAGAGGAAGAAAAGGAAGGAACTGGGAAGAGGGTAAGGGAAACAGTTGGAAAGATAACCATCATCATTATACATGGACCTTAAACAGCCATCTTGTCCTCATACACAGTGCCCACTGATGGAAGAGGGAGCCATTCAGCTCTGAAAGCTACCACCTTAACATCCCTGGCTGCTCTGGGACCAGGCCCATTCTCAAGGAGTCTGTCCCCCTAATCTTTACCTCTAGTCTTCCTCCAAGGTTTCTGCCCTGTCTTTGGGATTACAATAAACATGCTCTCCTACCACAGCAGCCTTTCAGAGATCTGAGGGCCTCACAGGTCTTTTCATTCACATGCAGCTATTACCATGAGCCCTTTTTGTGCAGTTTTCACTCTTCTCAAGCACCAAACTTTAATTTACATTTAATCTGACTGCAGATTTTCTGCAATGATTGAAGCAGTCCAGGCTTTGGAAAGACTCAGGGAAGCTGTGACTTTTTATAATTTTATTTATTTTTATTTTATGTGTATGCATGTATTGCCTGCATGTAGGTAAGTACACCTGTGTCGTGCAATGCCCATGGAGGTCAGAAGAGGCTGTCGGATCCCCCAGGACTGGAGTTATAGACAGTTGTTATCTGCCACGTGGGTGTTGGGAATCAAACCTGGGTCCTCTGCAAGAGCAATCAGTGCTCTCAACCACGGAACCATGTCTGTAGCCCCTGGAAGCTGTGACTTTCTTACAACTGCTCTAGGCTGATGGTGTTGGAACTTGATTTTTTTTTTCTTTTTAAATCAAGCAGGCCTTAAAGAAATGTCAAATTGGATGTTTTGACTTCAACCTTATTCACAGCCTCCACAAGCGATTCCATCTCCTTCTCAACGTCACTGACAAACTTTAAGTCCTTCCTGAAATGAGAAACCATCAGTTAATTTCATCTGTTCCTGCTCTTCTGGGAACCCCTTCCACTCACATTCTGCTTATAAAGTGCAGACAATAGACAATGTTGGCAGAAAAAGTGCAGAGGTCAGAACTGTCAAGTAACAGCCATGGAGTGAAAAAGGAAGCAAATGGGAGAAGGAAGGAGATACAGCCATCAGAGCTAGAAGACAGGAGGAAAAGGATTGTTACTGCCCCAAGTGAGGACCACAGGACTAAGAGACCTGAGTAGGTAGATGGGGTGAGAGGTGGCTCAGAGATCCTTTTTCAGTCTATGGAGCCCTTGCTAGGCCTAGACTCCTACTGAGGGGTCATACCTTCAACTTCAGGTTCGTTGTCAAGGGGATACAATATGTAATTTTTTACAATAGGTAAGTTAATTTTATCTGGCTTAATTATAGAAGAAACACACACACACACACACGCACATTTTTTGTCTTTTTGAGACAGGGTCTCCCTGTAGCCCCAGCTGACCTGGAACTTACTATGTAGACCAGGCTGGTCTTGAACTCACAGACATCTGTCTGCCTCTGCCTCCCTAGTGCTGGGATTAAAGGCATGCGCCACCATATTAGTTACCATATTAGAAACACATATTAGTTACCACATCTTATAAAACTAAACGATCTCATAAGCCACAGTGAGTTCGTGTTGAATAAGAAAGCAAGCTGAGCAGTTAGGAAAGTAGACTACGAGTTACATACCTGGCATCGTCTTTCAAACTATCACTGAATTTTGATCCTGAAGAACGTACATTGAAAGGATCAGAATCTTCACTGATATCAAAGGCCTCTGCTAATCTCCTGAAAGTGAGAGAGAAATATGTAAATATAAGGAAAGGAGGAGAGGGAAATTATACAGTAGTCCTTCCTTATTTACAGGGGATCCATTCTAAGACTCCCCAGTGGATGTCTGAAACCAGTTAGTACAGAACTCAAAATATACTGGTACTCTTTTTGGGTGCATGTATGTATAGGTGTATATGCACATGTATGCATATGCATGTGGAGGCCAGAGGTCAATCTTGGGTGTCATCTCGTATGTCATGGTTGGCTTTGGTTGTCAACTTCACACACCTAGGAAAAAGGAACCTCAATTGGGGACTTCTATTGGAGTAGACTGTGGGAATGTCTGTGAGGCATTTTCCTGACTGTTGAATGATGTGGGCCCAGACCACTGTGGGTAGTGCTACCCCTAGGCAGGTGAGTTCGTATTGAATAAGAAAGCAAGCTGAGCACAGGCCTGAGGAACAAGGCAGGAAGCAGTGTTCCTCCACAGTCTCAGTTTCAGTGTCTGTCTTCGGGTTCCTGCCTTGAGTTCCTGCTCTACCTTCCTCCATGATGAATTGTGACTGGGAAGTATAAGTCAAATAAACACTTTCCTCCCCAAGTTTGTTTTGGTCAGAGTGGTTTTTTTCTTTTTGAGATAGGGTCTTCCTGTAGCCCAGGCTGGCCTGGAACTCACTATGTAGACCAGGCTAGCTTCGATCTCACAGAGATTCACCTGTCTCTGCCTCCTGAGTGCCCAGCCCCCACTAGTTCATGTTTTGTAGATAGTTTTTAAAAGGACAGGCAATTTGAGCAGCACTCAGTAGAGTAAAACCAAGGGAAAAGTGGTTGGCATCATATTACCTTCTATCATTTAGAAACTTAAATACTGTTTTAGCTGTGCAAAGACAAACTTCAAAGGCGAACAAGGCAATACATCCTCATTCATATACATTCACATGCATGGTTAAAATTAAAAAGACAGCCGGGCGTGGTGGTGCACACCTTTAGTCCCAGCACTCGCAGAGGCAGGCAGATCTCTGTGAGTTCAAGGTCAGCCTGGTCTACATAGTGAGTTCAGGTCAGCTGGGACTACAGGGAGACCCTGTCTCAAAAAGACAAAAAATAAATAAATAGATAAAATAAAAAATAAAAAGACAGGGAGCTGGCTCAGGAGTTAAAAGCACTGGCTGCTTTTGCAGAGGACCTGGGTTTGGTTCGCAGCACCCACATGGCAGCTAACAACCCTCTGATCTCCAGTTCCAGGGGATCTAACGCACTCTTCTGACCTCTGTGGGCACTGCATGGTACAGGTACACTTAGCATACATGTAGGCAATATACTTGTACACGTGAAATAAAAATAATAAAATATTGTAAAAACAAAAATTAGGGGCTGGAGAGATAGTTCAGCTAAGAGCACTAGCTGTTCTTGCAGAAGAGCTGGATTCAAATCCCAGCACCCACATGGCAGCTAACAACCATCCGTAACTCCGGTTCCGGGGGATCCAATGCCCTCTTCTGTCCTCTGTGTGTACTGCATGGCACAGGAGCACTTACATACATGCAGGTATACGTACACATAATTTTACATATATAAACATACACTCATACATATAAAATAAAAAAAAAAAGATGCTAACAAAAGTGTGAAGCATGGAAATGACACCCTGTTAGAAGGAGTATAATACTATTTGGTTGACTGTACTAAAGCTGAACATATGAACATTCTGTTAAATCAGTAATTTTACCCCTAGGTTCATACCCAGCAGAAACAAGGACATAGTGAGGTGAAAGAAGATTCTAGCACTTAGGAAGCAGAGGCAGAAGGAGGCCAGCAAGGGAGTTCAAGGGGAGTCTAAGTTATACAGTAGACCCAATGGCAGAATGCTTGCCTAGTATAAAAAAGGGGAAGGAAGGGAAGGAGGGAGGTAAGGAGTCAAAGGGAGGGGGGAGAGAGAGAAAAAAACAGAGACAGAACAGAAGCAAGCAAAACAATCTAGAGACCTCATGCATGTTAGGCAGGAGCTCTGCCACTCTGCTTTATCCCCAGTCTTCTTTTTTATTTTGAGACAGGGTCCCACTAAGTTGTCCAAGCTGGCCTCAAACTTACTATGTAGCCCAGACTGGCCTCAAACTTGCATCAATCCTCCTGCCTCAGCCTCCCAAGTGCTAGGATTATAGGCATGCACCACCATGTCTGGCTTATGCATTATTTCGTGTGTGTGTGTGTGTGTGTGTGTGTGTGTGTGTGTGTAGACCAGAAGTAGACATTGGGTGCCTTCCTCAATTGGTCTTTTTGAGACAGGGTCCCTCATTAAGCCTGGAACTCACCAATTTGGCTAGACTAGCTGGCAAATAAACCCCAAGATTCTTTCCAGTGCTGGGATTACAGATGTAATCCGATGGTGTGCTGCCATGCCCAGTATTTACTTTAGTGCTAGGGATCTGAACTCAGGTGTTCTTGCATATATAAAGCAAACTTTATTGACTGAGCCATCTCCCTAGTCCCTTGTGTTACACTTGAGTTTAAAAAACTTCATTGAAAATATTTTAAAGCCTATCTCTGCCGGAATCAGGAAGTTGGTCAGTCACAAAATAAGCATGTTGTGGCTGGCAGCTGATATTTATACCATACCTCAACCATACAGCTCGTGTTTCTGAATAAGCTGAAATTACCCTAGTGGTTTATCCTTACACAGTTCAACTCCTGATGACCACATTCCTCCATCAACAACATTAAGACTCAGAGCAGGTGCTGAAGAAGGAAAGGTTTGCTTCTCCCATTAATTACATAGAGCTCAAAAAGAGGTAGATAACACAACATTGAAACCACTCACTTTTTCCTTTCCAGGGCAGAACACTCCTCATCACACTCCAACCTTGATAAGCAAATGAAAATATAGTCAGGACACAGGCTCTACAGTTCCTGTCTAATAAGAAAATCTTAGGTAGACTAGTTGAAAACACATCAGACTCTTTGTCAAAGGACTTCTCTTTAGGCCCAGAAGCAGCTGCAAGGCTATCTACTTTTCAGGTTTCACTAGAACCCCCTACCACAGGAATCTCATTGTCATCCACAAACTCTAATCCAATGGCTGGATGAGACCCTCTCAAGGGCAAGTGAGCAGAACTCTGGGTTATGGGAGACTAGCAGTCCTCATTGAGCTTCAGAATATTCCCTGGCTGCCCAAAATGCTCAGCAGATAGTTCTCTGACAGCCCCACTTCTCTTTCTAGATTCAGCCTTCCACATGGTTCTCTGTTCTGTGGGCCGGGCTGGATACACCTAGGTCTCTGCTGCTTTCTCTGTCAACTAACTAGAGTGAGGAATGGGAAATTGACTTTGGTCTTTTCCATATCCTGAGCAGGACTCACTGGGGTTGGGGTGGATATCGTCTCAACATCAAAGTCTGCTGAATATTCTACTGTGGAGAACTGAGATAAATGAGTTCCTCTACAAATCAAGTCAAACTGGAGAAAGAAGGCATGCACAAACACTCAAAATTACCTGGCTTGTTGAACTTCCTTCTTGGTAATTAACTTGCTGATCTCCACTGAATCTCCAAGCTGCATGTCTGTTATTTTAGAGGCCATAGAAATAGCAGCTATTCTGAAATATTAAAAAACAAAAATGAGGAAGAAGCATTGCAGTTTCACAAGAACCTCATGCTAGGAACACAGAGGGCCTCTTTCAAAGCCAATCAACCACAAGACAATTTGTGTGGCCTTGGGAGCTCATCTACCAAACTACCTACATGTTTATGGCGCATGTCCTCAATTTAGATTCTAAGCAGTTAGGAAGGGAAGAGGTAACATAACTCCTTAGTATCCCCAGAACAATCATGTTAATGCCCAACACTCTATTCAAACAGCCAGTCAGATGTCTGGGTATGCTTGAAGTCCTACAATGATGGCACACCCTCACATCTAGCCAGAGATACACATAACCAGTCATTCCCTCATACCTTCACCTCTGGACTTATATCTCTGTATAACCACGTGGGTCTCAAGATTTCTGGAGGCTATAAGGATATCTGCCACAACAATTAGAAAACCCCACGTTGGTGAAGACACACAGGACTTAGCTTTGGCAGTGCCTCCAAGAGGTAGAATATTAAAACAATTTACCTAACTTCAGGACGTCTTCCCTTCCTGTCTCATGATGTAATAAGATGAAAAAAGAAGGGAAAACAGGGGAAAAGGAGGAGGAGACAAAATTTTTCTCCTACAAATTAAGGAGGTTAGGGAAGAAAAATCATTAAAAATATTTTTGTGTGTGTGATAGGGTATCACTATGTAGCCCTGGGCTGGCCTGGAACTCACTATTTAGTCTAGGTTGGCCCTGGACTCACAGAGATCCATCTGGCTTTACCTCCTCAGTGCTGAGATTACAGGCACGCCAAGTTGGCAATTTAATTTTTTTTTTAAGATTATTATTATGTTGAGGGCGGCATGCATGCCATCCATGGTGCACATGTGGAGGTCAGAGGACAACTGTGTGAAATCTGTTCTCGTCTTCACCTTTAAGTGGGTTCCACTGAATGAACTCAGGTTACCAAGCCGGTACCTGCACCTGTTGAACCATCTCACTAATCCAGAAAAGGTACCTTAAAGGATCGCTTTTTCTTTGAATCAGATTTATTTATTTTTTTTTTGGTCTTTTTTGAGACAGGGTCTCCCTGTAGCCCCAGCTGTCCTGGAACTCACTATGTAGACCAGGCTGGCCTTGAACTCACAGAGATCCGCCTGCCTCTGCCTCCTGAGTGCTGGGATTGAAGGTGTGTGCCATCACACCCGGCCCAGATAAATTAAATTTTTAAAGTTTTATTTTAAGAGCTTTCCAGGCGGCAGTCAAGATGGTTCAGCAGGTAAAGATGCTTGCCATAAGCCTAATGACCTGAGTCTGATCCCTGGAACTCCCATGGTGGAGAGAGAGAACACTAATTCCTGTAAGTTGTCCTCTGACCTCATGTCCTCATGTGCTACATTGCAGCACACACACACACACACACACACACACACACACACACACACACACACACACACACACACACACAGAGAGAGAGTCTTGCAACCTTGAGAAGTCATAGGAACTTATAAGAAACTTATGAATCCCTTCACCCAGAACCACCAATTACTAACATTTATATAGCACTAACCTTTGATAAGTACTGGATGCTTCAGAGCAAATCACTATCTCTTTTCTTCGTCCGCATTCACACTGTAGCTCTACCTGAAATAAAATGAAAATGGAATGACTTTGCACATGAGAACAATAAGCAGGCTTCCCTTTAAAGCCCCTCCCAAATCAAACCATAGCAGAAAATAGTCAGGATCAGCTACTCTCAAGACTGAAGAGGCTAACCACACATGCAAACTCACAACATGGTGGTTGACATGGAGGGACATGCCCTGGTCATAATATCCTTTTCTGGAAACCACTTGTTATTACATCCAACTGAAGGTGTACACCTAGAATGAAGCTTGTACTGCTACGACACAGGTAGACACTTGACGAAAGTCCAAGGGAGGCCTAGCTAACTCTAAATGATCCCTCTGCTTCCATCTCCTCAGGGTAGCCTTTCATGACCCCTCAGACCAAGCTAAAGCTCCCACTTACCTTCTATGCAGACATAATTATTCCTCTATGATATAATAATTAATTACCTGAGCCATCATTTAGGTAATATCTGTCCCATCAAAAATTTTTGTCTTTTTGAGACAGGGTCTCCCTGTAGCCCCAGCTGTCCTGGAACTATGTAGACCAGGCTGGCCTTGATCTCACAGAGATACGCCTGCCTCTGCCTCCCGAGTGCTGGGATTAAAGGTGTGCGCCACCATGCCCAGCTCAAAGACGCACACTTAAGAGCCTGCAGCAGCCACCAGTTAATACTCACCTTGGCTTTACAAGCTGTTACAGGGCAGGGTGAGCTTGGGTGGCAGGGGGCCATGCATGGGTGGCCACAGTCAGCTCTGGGTGTGGTGCAGGGCTGCTTACAGGCCTCATCCATATGACATTCTCCTTTGTGACAGAGCCTCTGACACTTGTGCATCCCACAGGGTAGCATGGCACTGCAGGGTAATCCGCAAGAGATATCAACCAGGTGACAGGGGATGTTGCTTCGTAACTAGGAGAGACAGAAGCAGCCAGATTCTCATCTCTGTGTGGGTTCTGGGGTGAGTTTTTACTCTTAGAACACTTCTGAACTTACTAATAAGCAGCACACTAGGACTGGACCTGGAGCCTCATGCATGATAGGCAAACAATGTCACTGAGCTAAGTCCCTCAGCTCTCAGAATTTTTTTTTAAAAATCAACTGTTCTGCCAGGCATGGTGGCACACACCTTTAATCCCAGCACTTGGGAGGCAGAGGCAGGCGGATCTCTGTGAGTTCAAGGCCAGCCTGATCTACACAGTGAGTTCCAGGACAGCTGGGGCTACAGGGAGACCCTGTCTCAGAAAGACCAAAAAAAAAAAAAAAAATCAACTGTTCTTAATAATTTATTTAAAGCTGGGTGTGTTGGCACATGCCTTTAATCCCAGCACTAGGAAGACAAGAGATAAGTGATCTTCCTGAGTTCAAGGCCAGCCTGGTCCACATAGTGAGTTCTAGGACAGCTGGGGCTATAGGGAGACCTCGTCTCAAAAAGACCAAAAAAATTTTTTTAATAAATTTATTGTGTACATGAATGTGTGTACATAGTGTGTGCATGTGGAGGAGGTCAGAGGACAGCTTGCAAGGGTTAGATCTGCCACCCTGTGGAACTAGGGGATCCAAATCAACTTATCAGGCTTGGCAGCAGGTACCTTTACCTGAGGTGGCCCTATTTGGGGTTTTCTTTTTTCTTTTTGAGTGCTGGGATTAAAGGCATGCACCACCACAGCTGGTCTCTTTTTTCTTTTTTGTGACAGTCTGACTATGTAGCCCTGGCTGGCCTTGAACTCAACAAAGATCCTATGCTTCTGCCTCCCAAGGGCTAGGATTAAAGGCATGTGCCACTACTCCTGGTTTAAATGTTTTTGTGTTTTGTTTTTTTAAAGAAAAGCTCTTTTAGGGACTGGAGAGATGGCTCAGAGGTTAAGAGCACTAGTTGCTCTTGCAGAGGACCTGGGTTTGGTTCCCAGCACCTACATGGTGGCTAAAAACTTCTTCTGACCTCCGCAGGCACTGCACAACACACATGCAGTTACACACATGCAGGCAATAGTCATACACATAAAATAAAAACCCTTTTTAAAAAAAATGCTATAACCAAGCTGGAGAGATGGTTTAGCAGTTAAGAACACTTGCTGCTCTTACAGAGAACCCAGGGGTTCAGTTCCCAGCACCTACATGGCAGATCACAACCATCTGAAACTCTAGTTCCAGAGGATCTAACACCCTCTTCTGGCCTTTGTGGGCATTGTATGACAGAAGGACACATATACATGCAGGAAAAACACTCATACATAAAAAAAAATTTTTTGAATGCTATAACCATGACAGGCATGCAGGTATATGCCTATAGTCCCAGCACTGAGGCAGGAAGATTGAGAGTTTGAAATCAGCATGAGCTATCAAGAAAAACCCTTTTTTATAAAAGAATTTATTTTTATTTTATATGAGTGTTTTGCCTGCATGTATGTTAAGTGCACCCATATCGAGCAATGCCCACAGAGGCCAGAAGTGGGCGTTGGATCCCCTGGAATCAGAGCTACAGATGGTTGTGATTCACTCATTATGTGGGTGCTGGTAACCAAACCTGGGTTATCTGCAAGAAAAGCTAGTACTCTTAACTGCTGAGCCATCTCCCAACAGCCCTCCCCAACAAAACCTGTAATACCAATTGGGAGGATCAGATGACATCATTATCCAACCTGCTGAAGCACTAAGTTGAAAAACTCTTAAATGCTGGCAGTAGAAGTAGAGTACCTTTGACCTAGTGCTAGGAGACTGCTGCAGTGCTGTTTCAGGTGATTAAATATTCAACTATTCCAATCACATCTCCCACTGATATATAGCTTTAGGCAACCCTCTCAAAAAAATGAAAAGACAAAGGCTAGCAAGTTGGTTCAGTGGGCAAAAAGCTCTTGTTGCCAAGCCTGATGGCAATTCCAGGACCCATATGGTCAAAGGAGAGTGTCAACACCAGAAAGTTCTCCTTTGACCTCCACATATATACTGTTGGCACACCCTGACCCCGAACCACACAATATACAATAATTTTTTTTTTTTTTGGTCTTTTTGAGACAGGGTCTCTCTGTAGCCCCAGCTGGCCTGGAACTTGCTTTGTAGACCAGGCTGGACTTGAACTCACAGAGATCCGCCTGCCTCTGCCTCCCGAGTGCTGGGATTAAAGGCATGTGCTGCCACACCCAGATATATATATATATATATTTAATGAGAAGAGACAACAGGATTCCCAACTCTTTATTTCTTGAGAAATCACCTGCTCCTAAGCCTCCAACTGCTGGAAAAATATCCTGGAGTCAGGAGTGGTGGCACACTCCTTTGATCCCAGCACTCAGAAGGGAGAGGAAGGTGGATCACTGTGAGATCCAGGGCAGCCTGGAATGGTCTACATAGTGAGTTCCAGACCAACTGGAGCTACAGGGAGACCTTGTCTGAAAACAAAACAACAACAAAAGAACCATACTGGAATTTTTTACTAGGTGGGGAGGGCGGCAAAGGTTTTTGTTTTTTAAACAGGGTCTCATGTATCCCAGGCTAGCCTTCAACTCCTCAGCCTCCTGACTCCACCTCCCCAAGGGCTGGGATTACAGGCATGCACTGCCACATCTGGCTTTAAGGTTTACTTTATGTATTCTCTCAAATTCTTTCAAGAGTCCTCAAAATCTGGAATAAACTCATTGCAGCAACACAAAACTGTTAATTGTGAAATGGAGTCTTGCTATGTAACCCAGGCTGGCCTCAAACTCTCAGTGTTTCTTGTTTCAGTCTTCCTAATGCTGAAATTACAAGCATGTGCCACCACACCCAGCTGGAGTGACATATAACTTCTACCCTTGAAGAGACCTTTAAATCTAGAGCACACATGCTTTCAATCACTTTGGAATTTGTATTCTGGTAAGATGCAGTTCCCAATCATTAAAACTTACCTATTCTGGTACCAGAGCCTGGAGATACCCTCCTGTCATGTTTTGCCCTCCTGACACCTATTTCTCATATGACTTGCTGTCCTTTAGTGTTATTTCCTCTAGAATGCCTTTCTTTGGCAGGAACTCCTTTTCCTCCATTAGGACTCTGCATTGCTGACATTATTGTAGTTAGAATTACCATTTATATCTGCCTCTCATCCCTGAATCATGGACCTGTAGGGGCATGAGTTCTGTCAGTCTTGTTAACTTTGGAATCATCCCACACCTAGCCTGTTGCCTGGCACAGAGTAAGTATTCAATTATTATTTCCTGAATGAATTCTGAGTAAGTCACCAACACAAATATGATACAGGGGTATCTTAGAGTGGTCAAACTTACAACGAAAATAAGATTTATAAGCTGAATATGCTGACACATACCTATAAGCCCAGCACTTGGAAGGTAAAGACAGGAGGATCCAGAGTTCAAGGTCTTGTCTGGCTACACAGTAGGTTCCAGGCTAGCCTGAACTACAGGAGACCCTGCCTCCAAACAGCCACCACCACAATGAAAGATTTACAGAGAAGGAATAAATATGAAGGGCACTGACTTGAGAACTACTCACAGGAAGTTAAGTGGAGAGAAAAAAATGTGTCCATCAAGATAAAAGAATGTTGAAAATTAGCTGGGTGTGGTGACGCACACCTTTAATCCCAGCACTTGGGAGGCAGAGGCAGGCAGATCTCTGTTGAGTTCAAGGCCAGCTTGGTCTACACAGTGAGTTCCAGGACAACTGGGGCTACAGGGAGACCCTGTCTCAACAAGATAAAAAAGAATGTTGAAAACGTTAGAGATTTCAAGAGTTAAGAAACCCTGACTCATGCTATAAAATTAACAAGCACAGAGTACAAAGCATTACCATTTTAGAGTATAGGAAGCACCATCATGTGTCCCTGGTCAGACAAAATGATACAGAGTATTTCTTTCACTGGCTGGGGATATAGCTCAGTGGTAGGGTTCTTGCCTACTGCTCTAGTTTCATTTCTATTGCCGTGATAAAATACCCTGACAAAAAGCAATACAGAGGAGGAAAGGGTTTATTTGGCTTACAATTCCAGGTTACAGTTCATTATTGCAGGGAAGTCAATGCAGGCACTCACGCAGCTAGTCACATCATATTCAGTCAAGAGCAGAGAGAAATGAGTACATGCATTTTGCTTGCTTTGCTGCTCAGCTTGATCTGTCTACTCATACAGTTCAGGATCCTCTGCCTAGGGAACGGTACTGCCCAGAGTAGGCAGGGTTTGCCCACATCAATTAACAATCAAGACAATTCCCCACAGACATACCCACAGGCCAACCTGATCTAATAATTCCTCATTAAGTCTCTCTTCTCAGGTGATTCTAGGTTGTGTCAAGTTGACAGTTAAACCAACACAATCTATTTCATGTCAACTTGATACACAAACATGGCACTTTAAGCAATAACTTTCCATCCCTTGTCCCCAAAGTCTCATGTTAATATCATAATATAAAATACAATCCAATTCAAAAAGCCCCCCAAGTCTTCAAAAATGCCAACACTTCAAAAGTCCAAAGTCTCTTTAAAAGTCCAAAGTCTCTTAACTGTGAGATCCTGCAAGATAAAAAACAAGTTATATACTTAAACATTCTTATTCTAAAAGGGAAGAACCAGGGCATAAAAATAATCACACCAAAGCAAAACTGAAATCCAGCAGTGTAAATCCAAAACTTGTAGCTCAATGTCTGACATGCGGAACTCACACATAATGTAATCTTCCGGGCTCCGAAGGGCTGGGGTAGCCCCAACTCTTCAGCTCTGCCAGCTGAGGCACAACAGCTTCCCTCTTAGGCTGGCTCCATTCCATACAAGAAGCTCTCCTTGGTGGACATCCCACAGTCCTGGCATCTCCAATATCCTGGGGTTTCCACTGCAACTGAGGCTTTACCAGTGGCTTCTCAGGGTCTTGCCACAGGGATTAGACCCTGCCACATAGCACCTGACCTCAGGTGCTCTCCATGACCCCTTTGTGCCTTCAAAACCAGTACCATGTGAAATATTCTTACATTGTCAAGTTCTCCTGCAAGAGTGAGATGTAGCCTGGCCCCCTTGGACCATAGCTATATTAGCTTCTGTGTGCTGACCCTGAGGAAATACTTTCCTATTGTTCCAATGAAGAGCAGAAGGTTTCACCTCAATGGTGCTGCTGATCTCTTATCAATCACTGCTGATTCTTCAGCACTAGCCTGATCAGCACACATAAATTATTAGCCAAAAAAAAAAAAATCATCACATCGAAGGCTCCTGGCCCAATTTCTGGTAAAGTCCTTGGTCCCCTCTGAAACCTCATGAGCCAAGCCTTCACAGTACACATTTCTCTCAGCATTACTGTCTCCCAAGCTTCCATGAGAATGGCCCATTAAACTTTGCCAACAGTATTTTCATGGCTTTCCCAGTGCAAAGTTCCACAATCTTGCATGTTCCACCCCCAAGAGAACATGGCCAGGTTCATCACAGCAACAATCTCGCTTTGTTGGTACTAATTTATGGTATAGTCTCATTTCTGTTGCTGTGATAGAATAACCTGACAGAAAGTAAAACGTGGGATGAAAGGATTTATTGGCTTATAATTCCAGGTATAATCCGTTATTGTGGGGAAGTTAAGGGAGGAACTCAAGGCAGCTAATCACATTACATCCACAGTCATGGGAAGAACGAACATATGCATGCTGCTTGTTTGCTTGCCTGCTGCTGCTCAGTTTCATTTCTCCATTTTATAGTTGAGGACTCCTTATCTAGGGAATTAGGCCTCCCACAGTGGACTGTGTCTTCTTGCATCCATCAACAATCATGACATCCCCCCACCACATATCCACAGGCCAATCTGATTTAAATAATTCCTCAATAATATGTTCTTCCAGTGATTCTAGGTTGTAGTAAGCTGACAGTTAAAACTAACCAGCACACCTAACATGTGTAAAGTCCTTAGTTTGATTTTCAGCATAGCAAACGAACAGGCAACAAGAAACAGAACAGTATCTTCTCAGTTATCCATAATAAATATGCATTTAAAAAATTATTTTTATGGACCAGGCATGGTGGCACATACCTTTAATTCTAGCACTTGGGAGGCAGAGGTAGGCAGATCTCTGTGAGATTAAGGCCAGCCTGGTCTATATAGCAAATCCCAGGTCAGCTGGGGCTATAGGAAAACCTTCTCTTGAAACAAACAAACACACAAAAAAACCCAAAATGAAACAATTTATGTGTGACCACATAGGTGCCATGGCACATTAGAGAACAGCTTATTAGAGTTGATTATCTTCTACCATGAGTTCTTAGAATTGAACTCAGGTGTCAGGCTTGGTAGCAAGTGCCTTTACCCACTGAGTCATCTTGCTGGTCCTTAAATATGCATTAATTTTCTTCATTTCAATATATATGTATTTCACAATTTTTCTGTGCATAAGTGTTTTGCCTCCATGTATATAAGAATACCACATGTGTGCAATGCCCATGGAGGACAGAGGATCCCTTGGAACTGGAGTTACAGATGGTTGTTAGCCACCATGTGGGTGCTAGGAACTGAACAAGAGTCCTCTGCAAGAGCAGCCAGTGCTCTTAACCACTAAGCCATCTCTCCAGTCTTATTTGAATTTTTATACAATATTTTCAGTTTATTCTTTGAGATTTTCATACATGTATACAATGTATTTTGAGCATCTCCATCTCCCACATTTATTTATTTGTGAGTGTGTGTGTGTATACATGTCTGTACATGGAGGTCAGAGGACAATTTTTAGAAGTTGACTCTTCTAACATGTGGGCTCAGGGGATCAACTCAAATCATCAGGATTGGCAGCAAGTGCCCTATCTGCTAAGCTGTCTTGCCAGCCCAAATATGTACTTTTAAGATTAAAAAAAAAAAGTTTGTGTTAAGTTGTGTCAATAATGCCAAACATGGCTTACAGGTTAAGAATGAAGGTGAAACTCCTTCAGGGCACAAGTCATACAAAATGTTTAGTGATCAGGATAGAAAGCTGCACAAGGCCTAAAGAGAAGGTATGCAGCAGCTGGTAGAGAGGTTACCCAACGTGTGATAGAGCGATAGAGGGGCAGGAAGAACTTCTTGGGGATGAGTGCTATATCTGAATTGTGATGGCTGATATATGACTGTATGAATGGTTTGTCAAAAAATTGTCAGACCTGTGACACTGAAAAAAAAAAAAAAAAATTGGGGGACGGGGGGTGGACAGGGTCTCATGTAGCCCTGGCTGGCCTGGAACTTGCTATGTAGACCAGGCTGGCCTTGAACTCTGAGATCTGCCTGCCTCTGCTTCTGCCTCCCGACTGCTGGAATTAAAGGAGTGAACCACTATGCCCACCTTAAAAAAAGGTAAATTAAAAAATATATATATTTTATTTATTATTTGTGTATGCCCATTGAGCATGAGGAAGACAACTCTTTGGAGTTGGTTTTCTCCTTCAAGCTTTTATGTAGGTTCTGGGTATCAAACTCTGATTGTCAGATTTGTGTGGCAAGTGCCATTACCTACTGAGCCATGCATTTTACCAGCCCCTGATGATACAATTTTATCATATGTAAATTTTACCTTAAATGAAAAAAGTGATAGAAAGCTTCTGCTTCTTGGAGTACATTTATTTTGCAAAATGAGATTAACAGTGTTTAAGCAATTTAATCATAAATTTCTGGCTGGAACAATAAACTCCTAGGAAAGAAAACTTACCTCATGCTTGCCCATGCACCACTTCTGAGTTAGGAAAGTACAAGGGGGGCACTTCTCCTCACTATGACAGGAATGATACACTGCAAAACCAGAAACACAATTAGGAATAATTTCTAATGAAAGCCACAAAATGTATAAACATGTTTTAAATGGCATGTGATGTGGAATTCTGGAGCTGGAAGTACTTTTTCTAAGTGGTATTAAAAATGAGCACGAGGAGCTGGAGTTAAGAGCTCTTGTTGCACTTTGAGAAGACTCAAGTACAGATCCCAGCATCTGTATCTGGTGGCTTACAACAACCTATAACTCCAGTTTGAAGGGAGCTGATGTCCTCTTCTGGCCTCTGCGTGTACCCACACATACAAATAAATAACAAATCTTTAAAAGAAAGGGAGGGAGGGAGGCAGGGAAAATAAGCATGAGTGGGAAAAAGAAAGCCAACGGTGACAGGAACAGGCATGCCTAATGCCAGAAATGGGGCAACCTTACCATCATCCCACTGAGATGACCACTTTGCCATTATACCTGATACCTGGATATCTTTGCCATTTATTCCATCTATATGCTTCCACTGACTACATTTGGTGTCATTACTGTCAGTAACTACACTATCTTGACTCTCTAATATTGTCATTTAGCTCAAGCACAGGGCTTGCTGCCATATTACCTGGCCCATTTGCACATATAGGCTGGATGTACTGTGGGTATTTAACTACTCTTCTTGAGCTCTCAGGAACATAAGAACCTCATAATGGGTGATTTTTTTCCATTCCCTGAAGCTCCCTCTGCCTGACATCATGCTAGATACACAAAAGATACTCAGGAAAATGGAAATGAATGCTAAACAAAAGCAAGCTACAACAACATAATTCACAAATGATCCAATTCTTACTAAGGATATTGCCCAGCAGGATCTGGACTTCATCTGTAACACCTGCAAGCTGGTAGAATCAAGTGGTTTTAGGTCTGGTATCTACAGCAGTTTATTACAGAAAATATGGAAACAGCTCAAATGTCCAGCAACATGATAGACTAGAAAAACTATGGCCTGTCCACGTAACAAGTCACTTCACTGCTATTAAAGTCTTTATTCAGGTCCCGAGATGGCTCAGTGGGTCAAGACACTTGTTGCCAGATCTGACGACTTGCATTCTGTTTTCCAGGACCCATATGGTGGAAGGAGAGAATCAACTCCCACAAGCTGTTCTCTTACCTCTACATATGTGGCATAGCATGTGTGTGCCCACATTCGCATATACATGCCATAAACACAAACATCCAATGATAAAAAAATTTAAAATAAATAAGTAAAATGAAAATCATATTTTTGAGCTAGGTGGGGTAGTGCATGCCTATAATCTCAAAACTTAGGAGGATGAGGCAGAAGGATCAAGAATTTGAGGTCAGCCTGGTAGACAGAGTAAGCTGGAGGTTAGCCTGGGCTACACAGCAAGACTCTTGTCTCAAACAAACACAAAACACCTCAACAAATTATACTGCAAAAAAATTGGTAAGGAAAAAAATTAAAAATAAGAAACATGCAATTTAAAAACCATTACATTGAGCTGAGCATGGTGCAACATGCCTTTAATACTAGCACTCGAGAGACAGAGATAGGTGGACTGAGGCCAGCCTGGTCTACATGGTGAATTCCAGTTCAGCTGGGGTCACAGCGAGACCCTGTCTCAAAACACCAAAAAACAAAACAAAAGCAAAGCAAAGCAAAACCAAATCAAACCTGAGTCTGTTTCCTAGCAGCCACATTGGGCAGATTACACCACCTGTAACTCAAGCGCCACAGGATTTGATGACACCCTCTTCTAATTTCTGCAGGTATACGAATTCACATGTACATACTTGCACACATACACATAATTAAAACAAAACAAATTTTTGTTTTTTTATTATTTTATTATTTTTATTTTTTGTGTATGAGTGTACACATATGAAAGTGCACCTGTGTTGTGCAATGCCTGCAGAGGTCAGAAGAGGGCATCAGATTCCCTGAAACTGGAGTTACGGATGGTTGTTAGCCACCATGTAAGGGAATTGAACCTGATCTGCAAAAGCAGCCAGTGCTCTTAACTGCTGAGCCATTACTCCAGCCCCAACAAAACAAATCTTAAGGTGACATTAAAAAAAAGGTGACATGGATGATTTAATATTGATCTTTTGATTTTATTATTTAGCTATTTTTACTTAACATATACTGTTTCTCTAACAACCAAGTTTTAAAATATATTTTATTTATATTTTATATTTGTATTTTATGTGTATGAGTGTATTGCCTGCATGTAAGTGCACGATATGTATACAATGCCCATGAAGCCCAGAAGAGGGTGCCCGGGTTCCCTGGAACTGGAGTTACAGATGGTTGTTAGCTGCCATGTGGGTGATGGGAACTGAACCTAGGTCCTCTAGAAGAGCAGTCAGTGCTGTTAACCACTGAGCCATTTCTCCGGTCCCCAACAATAACCAAGTTTAAAACAAAACTTTTATTACTTTATTTTTTGTGTCTTATGGATCGTTGTGTGTGTGTGCAGTGGGGGGTATGGGTGCATGTATACCACGGCAGTGGAGGTCAGAGGACAACTTCTGGAAGTTGGTTCTCTCCTTCTACCATGAGGGCCTTGGGATCAAACTCAAGGTTAACAGGTTTGGCAGCAGGTGCCTTTACCTGCTGAGCCATCCTGCCAGCCCTAACCAAGCTATTTTAAATTTTGCAAAAAAGATGTTTTTTGAAGTATGCACCAACAGTGAAGGCAACAAAGAAAGAGAATTCCTCCAAAGGCAAGAAGCTATGGTTTCTTCCAACCTTTCAGATGTGTCTGACATCCACAGACTGAAGAAATAAGCATGTTGGGTCCCAGCTAGACCTAGATCCCAGATTCACCTTCACAGAAGCAGAGGAGCAAGAGGGCAGCTAACCCAATATGATCAGAGTACTCAGCACAGTTACAGAACATCATTCTACATGACACAATATGAGCAGGTGGTGAGGTGGGGTAGCCAAGTGTAACTCACCTGGATGGTCACATTCATGGATTCTGGCACAGGTCTGGGAACACTCAGGAGGCCTAGTACCACAGGGAACTGGTGGGTAGATCACAGATGCACCACAGTGGCAGGTTAATTCATCAAAACCTGGTGGGATAGGTCAAACAAAACAAACCTTCATGAGTTTGGGATGTACATGAACACATTAATGTATACAAGCATGTACATTTATTTTTGTTTTATTTAGTCCCTACCCCCCTGCCCCATTCATCTCTGGTTCCTTGGATTTAAAGAACTGGCAAGGGGAAGATCAGAGAAAGATTTTTACTAAACTTTTATTAAAGGTAAGCTAGTGAAGAAAACATATACATAGTCTTGATAACTTTCTAACACAAATTCTGATTAGATCCACCATTTCTGGTTAGATTGGAGGTTATATTAACAACTATGAATTTTATTATAATAATACAAAATTTATCAATATTTCAAAGATCTGCAAAATTCAGTGAACATTTATTTTCCAAATAATCAGTATATGTAATTATAAAGTCATGCATGGAAGCCAGGCAGGGTGACATATGCCTATAATCCTAGTCAGGAAAAAAGAGGCAGGAAGGTAATATGTTTAAGGCCAACCTGGGCTACACAGTAACACTCTATCTGAAAAAAATTAAATAAAAATAAATCATGTGAGGGTGAAACATCCATTTGAAGTAAAAGAAGGACCAATGTATTTTAATATGGCAAAGAAAAACAAAAGACTCTTGTCCTTTTTGAAATAAGGTTGAGCTGTAGTGTAGTATCAAATAATATTCACAATCATTTTGAAAAAGTTAAAAACACTTCTCCTTTCTCCAACTATGTGGAAACTTAATTTTTTCATATTTCTGCTATACTGTAACAGACTGAATGCAGAAAAAGATATGAGACTCTAACTACTTCTACTAAACCAGGCAGCCAATATTCTATTTCTTTTTTCTTTTTGGTTTTTTTGAGACAGGGTCTCCCTGTAGCCCTAGTTATCCTGGAACTCACTAGGTAGGCCAGGCTGGCCTTGATCTCACCAAGATCTGCCCGCTTCTGCCTGGAAATATTCTATTTCTTAATGTAATTCTTAAGAATGTGTTTTATGGGCTGGAGAGATGGCTCAGTGGTTAAGAGCACTGGCTGCTCTTGCAGAGGTCCCAGGTTTGATTCCCAGCACCCACAATGGCAGCTAACAACTGTCTGTAACTCTAGTTCCAGGGGATCCGATGACCTCTTCTGACCTCCACCGGGCACTGCATGACGCTGGTGCACCTACTAACATGCAGGCATTATACGCATACACATAAACATAAAAATAATAACTAAGCCAGGCATGGTGGCGCATGCTTTTAATCCCAGCACTCGGGAGGCAGAGGCAGGCAGATCTCTGAGTTCAAGGCCAGCTTGGTCTACATAGTGAGTTCCAGGCCAGTTGGGGCTACAGAGAGACCCTGTCTCAAAATAAAATAAAAATGTTTATAAATGAAAAAAAAGAATGTATTTTATTAGCTGGGCGTGGTGGTGCACGCCTTTAGTCTCAGCACAGAGGCAGGAGGATCTCTGTGAGTTCAAGGCTAGCTTGGTGTGCATAGTGTACATAATGAATTCCAGGCCAGCTGGGAATGCAGGGAGACCCTATCTCAAAAAGACCTAAAAAAAAAGGATGTGATTTATATAGGGCATGGTGGTGTGTACCTTTAATCCCAGCACTCAAAGCACAGGCAAGCAGATCTCTGAGTTCAAGACCAGCCTGATATACACAGCAAGTTTCAGGTTAGCTGCAGCTACAATGTGATTTCTGCTACCATGCAATGGATATGGTAAAGGCAGTTGATGGAGGAGGACTTCATTAAACCAGGCCTGTGTCAGAGTCACTGCTTACATCATAGACTTTGTATACTCAAGAACAACAATGTGGCGCTAAGAATAACCTGTGTGCCACCTGGAAGTGGGGCCCACTATGCACTTGGGAGTTCTCCTGCTTCTGCCCCCTGTCCCCACATATTGACATTACAGGTATGCACCATGCCTAGCTAAGAATGACTAACAAGTCTCAATATGTTTGAGATAGTAAGGCTTAGTTCAATAATTCCTACCAATCCAAGCAAATTAATTTCTTGAAATGTGCCAGCATTTCTAGGAAACTCTAAGAATAAAGGAGATAGTGAAGGAACTCACTGGCTTGCCAGCAGGTCTGACAATTCCCTCGATGACAAGGTTCTTCACATCTATGAAGGCCACAACGGAGTTTCCTCCCACAAATCAAAGGACACTTGTGCTCCTTATCCTAAGAGGAGAGATTTTTATTTGTTCACCAAATGGTCTCCATTCAATATTTTCCATAAACAAGATGAATAAAAACAAGGCTCTACACATTTATGAATGAAATATCTGGGAACAGCTTCAAAATAACCAGGGAAGGGGAAGCAGGTCAAGATATGACTGAAACAAGATTAGTAATGAGCTGATCATTACTGTAGCTGGATATTATATATGTGAGCCTCTGTTCTGATTTTGTTTGAAATTTTTGTTAATCAGAGAAGTCTTTAGACTTTCAAACACTGACTTTATTAATCTTGGTAGAAAGCATGATTTCATCACTCTTTACCTTGTCAAGATTAAAAAATATATATATGCACGTGTTTTTTTTTGTGTGTGAATGTATGTAGAGGACAACCTTGGGTGTCATCCCCAGAAACGCTGTCCACCTCCTTTGAGACAGGGTCTCTCATTGGCCTGAAGCTTATCACTTAGGCTAGACTGGCTGGCCAGCAAACTCCAGGATTCTTCCATCTTGGTTTCCCCAACACTGAGATTACAAGTACACACTGCCACACACAGTTTTGTTATGTAGGCGCTGGGGTTCAAACTCAGGTCCTCATGCTATGAGGTAAACATTTTACTAACTTAGCTATTTCTTCCAGCTCCCAAATATAAATTAAAACAAAAACAAAAACCCAGTATTTGTTGAGTATGGTGGTACATGGCTTTAATCTCAGCACTCAGGAACAGGCAGAGCTCTATGAGTTTGAAGCCAACCTGGTCTACATAGTGAGTTCCAGGCCAGCCAGGACTGTGCTGTGAGACTGTCTCTCAAAAAAAAATTGCGCTCCGGGCGTGGTGGTGCTCGCCTTTAATCCCAGCACTTGGGAGGCAGAGGCAGGAGGCTCTCTGAGTTCAAGACCAGCCTGGTCCACATAGCAAGTGCCAGGCCAGCTAGGGCTACAAGGGAGATCCTGTCTCAAAAAGACAAAAAAAAAAAAAAAAAAAAAAAAAAAAAAAGCCATAGTCTTACATGACAGATGTTAAAAAACAAAACAAAACTGTGGATTAAGTTCAGATTCTGTAAAGTGCATGGAGGAGAAACAAATTATGAAGTTTTTTCACTGGTGAACTCACTGTGAGACTTTCCTGTATAATGGGATAGGTTTTCAAGGGTATAGAAACAAATTAAAGAACTACAATCAGTAACAGCACAATTATAGTGGCATTTTCTTCCTTATTTTAGTCACTCAGGAGAACAAAGGGCTTTGCTTCTAAGTCTATATAACATGCTGTGAAATGCTGAGTTTTCTTGTGAGTCCTCCTCTGCTGTTGGATTCTTTGACTAGCACTGATCCATCTCAAGGTTTTGGATTTACTTGAAATTTTTTAAAAATTAAGTTTGTTATAAATTACAAATTGAAAAACATACACTAATTTCTTGAGTCATTTGTAAATATAAAGTATCATCTTTAGCTGGGTGTGGTGGCACACGCCTTTAATCCCAGCACTCGGGAGGCAGATGCAGGTGGATCTCTGTGAGTTCGAGGCCAGCCTGGTCTACATAGTGAGTTCTAGGACAGCTGGGGCTATAGGGAGACCCTGTCTCAAAAAGACCAAAAAAAAAAAAAAAAATCACCTTTGATGGTTCATTTTAGATGAAAAAAAGCCAATCAGTAAGCTGTTCTATCACCTAACAGTTCAGACAGATGAGGCCTTAAATGATTTTTGGTTGAGGTTGTTGATCTCTCTTCACTGTATGAGGCCACTTCTTTTTCCATTGATTTTGATATTTAATTATTTTTGGTCCTTTTTCTTTTTTTAATTTAGATCTAGTTTCTTTTGTCCGTCACCATTTGCGGGAACTTTTATTTTTCATTTCAATTTTGATATGATTGTACATCTTAAAATAATTTTTATTATTTCAAACAATATGAAATGTTGACTTTTATTAGGCAGTTTTGCAAATGACATATATCAGACTTGAAAGTTAAGAATCTGTTTTATGGGGACTGGAGAGATGGCTCAGCTGTTAACGGCACTGACTGCTCTTGCAGAGGACCAGGGTTTGATTCCCAACACCCACATGGTGGCTAACAGCCATGTGTAACTCCAGTTCCACGGAATCCAATGCCTTCTTCTGACCTCTGAGGGTACTGCACGACATGGGGGCACTTACATGCAGGCAATACACTCATATACATAAAATTAAAATAATAAAATATTTTTTAAAATCTGTCTTGTGAAATTAATATTGTTAGCTCCTAGAATGGTCCTGGCAGTACATTCTGTACTTTGCCATTTAATTCTCAAACCAGCTTTCATTGAAAGGGGGTATTACATCTGTTTTCAAAAGGGGAAAGATAGTGGAAATCAGGATAGGAGAAAAGAAGGAACACCAAGACTACTCAGAAGCAACAACACAAAGCACATGCATGACACAGGTGCCTAGAGAGGAAACCACATGTTTTTCCCGAGTATCCTGGCAACTGAAACAAAGGAAGAACCATCCACTAACTGACAATATGTCTATGATAACCTGATTTTTTTTTTTTTTTTGGTCTTTTAGAGACAGGGTCTCCCTGTAGCCCCAGCTGTCCTGGAACTCACTATGTAGACCAGGCTGGCCTTGAACTCAGAGATCTACCTGCCTCTGCCTCCCTTAAAGGCATGTGCCACCCGGCCCAGCCATATAACCTGATTTCTTAAGAGAAATGTATTTATGTTGATTTTTGTGGTTTTTTTGTTGTTGTTGTTTTGCAGTTCTAGGGATCAAATCCAGGTGCATGCTGGGGAAGCTGTACCAACTGAATTGCATTCCCAGCTCCAGTAGTTCCATTTTAAATATGGAAAAAAATTTTCACAAGGACTTTGCCTAAAGCAGTAAACAGAATTCTCAACATCAATGGTTTGAGGAACCAAGAGCTACCCTGACTTTATGCACATTATAGTTTAAGGACAATTTTTTTTCCCCAGTAGGGGAAGAAAAGGTTGGGATTATTTGGATTAAACCAAGAAAAAACTGGTGGAATTTCAAAAGGGAATGAGTAAAATACAAATGGGGGCTATGTACCTTGCTAAGTATTAAAGTGCAGCTTCCTGTGTATTACCTGGAATTTAAATATTCTGTTTGCTGGTCTGTTATATACTTGTGCTTTCCTTTTTGTTGAATTTGGGTTTAAATGATTACATAAAAATTAAATGGCAAAACTTAAAGTTAGCCTGGTTCAATTATAATACACTGTTTGTTAATATATACAATCTAGCATGCAGTTTGAAGTACAATTTTAGAAAGCTGGGGACCTTTAAATAATGACTGGATGTAATCTTGTTTAAGAATGAGTTTATTCTTCAAACTGTAAATGGTGGCAGACTGCAAATACTTTGCTTCATATCATTGTGTAAATCCTTTTATAACAACTTGTGCCAGGTATGGTGTCACATGCCTTTAATCCCAGCACTCAGAAGGCAGAGGAAGGTCAGATCTCTGAGTTCCAGGCCAACTGGGGCTATAGGCAGATCCTGTCTCAAAAAGACCAATAAATAAATAAATAAATAAATAAATAAATAAATAAATAAATAAATAAATAAATAAATAAAAACTTTCATTATTT